GCCAAGATGCCAACTCTGCCCTGCTTCTGCCCATTCTCCTACCCCATGGCCTTTTTGGGCAGCATGAGACTGTCACTGCTGAAGGATGCCCTGGTGGTACCCTCACAGCTGTGGCTGAAGGAGTAAACTAGCCTGTGCTTCTCCACCAGAGTCCCTTAGAAGGAATAATAGCATAAAAGGACAAATAGGAGATTTTGATGAAAAAAATATCATCAAACAGACAAAACAATTTAGGTTCCCTCTGCCACCTTGGGACAGATCTCCCTTGTGAGGCTCTCTGGGATGGAGAGGCACCAGGAATATTTCTGAGCCGCGGCACCAGGTATGCGACTCCTTCCTTAATGGAAAACTCCCACCCAAGCCAACCTCGGAAAGTTGCCTAGTTGGTCCAGGATGGGAGTGACAAATCTATCACAAATGAAGTGCCACAGAACAGCCGCAATAATTACATTGGCCCCGTCTAGTTGTTCTCATTAGACGCAATTAAATAAACTGACAAAAAAAAGCACAATGTTCACTGTTGCCAAGTTACTGATATAGCAGATCTCAGTGCAAGAAAAAACCCATCCAAAATAATCTTTTTCTTTATGGGGATTTTTTTCTTAAGTTATACCGTTAAAAAAAAACCCCACAGGGTTTATTTATTATTTTTTTTAAGTTAGGTCTTTCAATATATGGGAAATATATTCAATATACAGCCTCTGAATGACATTTTAAAGCTGCATCCTCTCCTCTGCGAGCCTTGCACCCCTCCTTGTGGTAGATTGAAGCAATTGTGTGAGCAAAAGCCTCTCTCTGCTGGGCTTTGGCTTCCAAAAAGAGCAGAGCTAACCACCCCAGACATGCTTTCAGCTCTGGCACTAAGCAGCGTCTTCTCCAGGTTGCGAACGTCTCCGAGCTAGAGATATAAACAACTTCTCCCTCTTACTAAAAGTCAGCTATAAGCATGTGTTTCAAACATAATTAAACTGGAGGGTGTAGATGTGTGTGTGACACAATGGAACAGTTAAACTACCCAATCTTAATGTTTGTTTAAAGGTTACTTTTGGATGAAAGCTGGTTAGAGAATAAATAACAGATGCTGAAGGCATCCATTATGTATTTTTGCAATTAGCAGAAAATCCTGGTACTTTTCTTAAAGAACATACATAATTTTGTGGGATGTTTATTGCTGGAAGCAAGCCGCTCTCGCTGGCAAGAACAGCATCCAAGAGCCCAGGGAAGCTTCACAAGAAGTCACACATGGTGAGCCAAATGTAGTGCTTGCTGAGGGAACAGCACTTAAAACCCCGAGCTCTGTCGCAAGGAAGCAGTCAAATGCACTTTCTTTCCACAGAAAATTTTAAATTAGAAAGAACACGGTAAAATTATCCTTGTTTCTGTTTTCCACGGGCATTTTGATGACCCAGGCTGCTGATTATATTTTCATTTGAAAAATTCACCCAGGATGTTTCACGCTGTTGTCGTCTCCTATGCCCTAGGGATTCTCCCATGGTCCAACTCCCATCTCACCACCCAGGGTAGGAAGATACTACCAGACCCGGGGAAAAGTTGTCCATCCAGGATGCATGGCCTGGAAGGGAAAATGGAAGTAAGGAAGCTGCTACAGCTCCCAGAGAGCATCTCCCTCCCACAGAAGTTCGTGTGTGAGGAGAATGAGGTGGGGCAGCAGCTTAAATTTGAACTGTGCCAGTCCTCCCCCTGAAATAAAGGCACGGGTGATTTCCATCATATCCACATGAAACCACAGGAGATATTCAGACAGAGGTATTTGGGTTAGAACATAACATGGACCTCAGGGTACTTGTTGACAAACAGCTGGGGACTTTAGCTGGTTCTGGTTTAGAAGACAACAGTGGTAACACCTTGAAAGGCAACCTGAAGAGATAACTGTGCTCTGTCAGCAAAGAGGACCACCACATATTGCATCCTCTAAACACCTTGATAGATCCTGATAGTCCCTGAAGACCTCCACAAGAGATTAAGCTTCACTCCTAAGACTTGATCCAATTGAGAAGTTATCCAAAAATTTCTTTTCACGTCTCATGGCACTAAATAAAAGTGCCACGCTGAGCACCAAAGTTCAGCTTTGTGAGCAGAGCTGCTGTACAAGGTACCACTTCCACGTACCATAGATCCACAGATCGTTACCCTTTGGCAGCAGCACAGTGATCCAGCAATCTCTGCCGTTTCTTACCACAAAGAAACTGCATTGTGCTAAAAAGCCCTCCAGAATAAAGCAGATAATATCTTTTGGGATGGCGCCTTGCATTTTCCAAGAGTTGCCTCTCGCTGCAGCAGCTCTTACAAGAAACTAACCCAAACCCTCCTGTTTGTAAATTAGAAAGAAAAAGCATAACTCGGACTGGTATTTGGTTTAGGACTGAATGGTTTGCACAGCGCTTAAGAAGCATTTTAGACAAAAGCAAGCTTTCTGCCAAGCATTTGAGGGGGGCAGAGAAAATTTCTGCTTCTCAGTCTGAATGCAGTTATAAACCAGGATGACAGAATAGCCTGGCATTGCTGCCCACAGCGAGAGAGGCTGCGCATCTCCTTCTTCACCAGCACGGCTCAACTTGTCTTCATCCTGCCCAGTTTCGCTTCCCACAGCTCTACCCTGGAGACAAATTCCTGTCCCCACAACCCCTGGAATTCAAGGTGGCAGAGATGATGAGGAGAGACGGGGCAATTTCTAGGCTGGGCGTGCTTTTGTATGGATTTCCATCCAGCCAGCACCACCACGAAATAGCTGGAGAAAATCCAAGCATCGCTGCCGCGCGGAACAGATACGTATCAAAGGCTGAAGTCAGACCAGTGGAGCAGAACTGACTGAGCTTCTTTAAGCGTCTTCCCTCCCATCCTCCATCATCTCACTTGCTTCCATTGAAGCATAACAGGTCATTGCTAGTTTAACATCTGGTGATTGAGGAGGGGTTTGTGGTGTTTTTTTGCCATGCAACTGTTGCTGAAGCAAGACAGACACATCTGATCTCACATGGGACAAAAAAGAGCAGAGGTACAACACTGAGATTTTCTGTAGTTGAAAAAAACCTATAAAACGCACGATGTGCTTTACACCAATTTTGTAGCAGATTATGTACCAAGCTCGCTGGCAGAAACAGGTTCAGATTGCTCCAGCTGAGGGTATTTAAAGATTTAGTTTCTTTTGCAAGGCACAGAGAGATTGGTAAGAGCAGCCCCTTCTCCATCCCAAAGAGCATCCACAATTCAGAAAGGTAAGGAAAAGCCATTAAAAGGCAGAGAGCAAAGAGGATAGAGAATACATCAACTGAGCAGATTAGAAGACTCAGTAAAGACACCTATTGTTACCGACAGAAATACTCTACAGACCACAGGCTGAAAACCACCATCTTAAACTAAGCAATCCATGAAAAAATAGCAGAGAGCAGCAAGATTAAATTCATCTATGCCCCCCTATCTCCACTGGAAGATTTCTAAAGGTCTGCAGATCAAAAGAGTGTGTGAGAACTGCTGCTGTAAGAAACCACGAGCCTTAATATTTCTTGCCACCGTCTCCTTTGTTACCTGATCAGCTGAATCCTCTTTGCCTCCTCATGCAGTTTTCATTACGAGCTGCTCACCCCGGGGTCTCTGGACTGTCGTGAGCACCCAGCCCCAGGTGCCCAGACCCCACGTCCTGCTGCACTGTGCCTTGAAGAAACACCCTGAGCTTGCCAAGGGGCCAGTGGTTGCCCCCCCCCCAAAGAGGAGACCAGCCGAGTGGTCACAGATGATGGCTTTCAGAGACAGCTTTACCACAACGGGGACCCAACTAGTGTTGAACTTCAAACTGAGCAGAACAGTAATCCCTTAAATTGCAACTTTCCTAAGTGCTGGCAGCTGGAAACTGCCAACCGGTAACGACAGTTGGCAGCTCCAGTCTGAACTGAGGAGTTTGGTTTTTTTCCCAGTTTTTTTCCATTTAACTCTCCCGTTCTCCCCAGTTCAACTCGGGCAGTGGCACGTAGATGTTCCCATTGCTGTAAGACACGGCATTTTGCACAAGACCTTGGAACTCCCTTGTGAACAATCTCTTCTTATTAAGGACAAATGTTGCTTATGGGGAACATCTTACACTGAGGTGATCCCGGTCTTCTCCACAGTAGTGTCCCCTCTGCCTGCCCCCATTCCAAAAAAAATTGGCACCCTTAGGGCAGAGATTTTCAGCTTAAGCCTCCCCCTTGTGGGAGTGGAAAGTCCCCAGGGAGACTCTAGAGCCTGAGGATGAAGTTTCAGTTAAAACAGTTTTTAGAAGATGTTTAGTCTATGTAATTTCAGCAGTAGAAAGATACCTACACTGCTGGAACCCCCCCGTTTTTCTCACTCCCCCTGCAGGCTCAGCAAATCTTTCCAGAAAAAGGTTTCCAAGTTCAACACGATGTTGCCTAAAAACCTACGCGTGAAATCAACAGCCCATTTTGTGACAAACCTTTATGCAAAATGAGAAGACTTATTTTTAAATAAGCCTGGAAACCCCTCAGTTTCTTTTTTAAGGAACGTTACGCTGTGCCCATCTCCTGTAAGAACAGTCCCCAGTACAGCACGGAGACGTGCTGCAAAGTGGCACAATGGCATCCAAGAAATCAGCTGGTAATTTAGCAAGGAAGCAGGAGAAATCAAGGGGAAAAAGTGTCTCCAAGACCAGCTGTGCAAGAGGTTTGTGTTTCCTAGTGCACTTCCCAAGCCCCCTTTCTTTCACAGATGTGCCAGATGAGCTATCGCTGCACAACTACACAACTAGAGTGATTTGACAAACCTATATAGAGTCAAGAAAAGATTCCAGTTCCACAGAAATTTGCCTGATCTTATCCTGTGCCTCATGGGGTCTTCAGTCCTTCAGTTTTGACGGCGAGAACTGAACTTCTATACACATACCTGTGTGTATAAAATACATAAGATTAATAAATACGCGCTTTGTATAGATAGATCTATGTGAAAAAATATTCCTCTGACAGATAACCATAAGCCAAACACTCACATTAAGCCACAGAACAAAGTTTATTGGATCTTTTCAAATTCTTTGTACAGTTTTGCTGCTAAACAGACATAACACGTTGGCGTATCGCCTTTAATCTTTATTTCAATCATGAGTCCAACTTGAAAGAATTGGTAACACATTTAATGGCATCTTCAATAAATAAAATGACAAAAAAAATAATCTAGTCTTTGCACAGACACATTACAATCCACTCCAAATTCAATATTGCCAAAACATTGGGTTTTTTTCCTAAAAACTTGCTCCAAAAGGTTTTTTTCTTGTTTTAGCACTTAAATACACAGAAAAGTATATGATGAGAGAAAACAGATACTCTATTCTGAACAGAACTTGTAAAAAACAGTAATGAAGAAACAAAAGATAATTAAATCTAATTAGATTAAAGCATCCTGTTTGAAGACTTTTTGGAAAAATCCTGATTCTAACCTCGTATCAAAACATGCAGTTTCACTAGATCCTATCCTATGTCAGCATACTCATACAATAAGAATTAAATTCCGTGATTTAATCTTTTTTTTTTTTTTTTTAAGGGGAATTTCATAAAGCAAAAGCCCACACTCACAAAAGTAGCCATGGTCCATATATTCTGCAGTAGTAAACAGCTATTTGTGCTCAGTCCGTGGTTTGAATTCCTACCATAATGGAAAAGATATTGTAGTTTATACCCTTTGTTTCTGTACCCATCTCTTCCCCAGTGCAGCAGCCTCAAAAACCTCAGCAGGATGAGAATTCCTGCAAATACAGATCTGCCTGCACGGATCAGATTGCACGATGAGGACCAACGCGTCTGACTCTCATTAGAAGCTAGGCTTAATTTAAAGCTTTTCCTAAATAAAGTCATCAATAAAGAAAAGCTGAACACCAAGATCTCCAAATTGCAATTCCCTGTAATTTGCAACATTTATTAGCATATCACAAACCAATTACAGTGTCAGTTAATGTGGGAAGAACCACGCTATCATAAAAACAATCATCTTCAGTGAAAGCTTAGGGCACTCAAAGAATGTAGGTTGGGCCCCCCCAGACCTATCCATACTACATAGGGGAGAGAAAAGGTTACTTTCAACAAAAGGCAGAATTACACCATATCTGTACAAACATTTAAACCGATTTGTTTCAACTAGTGATCTGCTTATCCCAACTATTGCTGCTGACTCTACTTGGCTAATTCAAGAGAACGTGATGAAGCAGGACCCAATTTGTTTAAGGGAATGGAACTTTTTTCCTGCGGTTATCTTCCCCCTCAGTTGACCACATCATAACAAAAGTGCAATAATTTACATTTTTTTTCAAACAAACACCTATTAAAATGATACAATTTTAGGGAAACAAATTCACTAGTTTAACCATAAAAATATTTCCCCAGGTAACAAACTTTAAAGCATTCAGTAACACAGTATTTCAATAATAATAATAATAATACAGAAAATCCCTTCCACTTGTTACAAAAGACAGAACTGTTAGAAGATTTTGCTTATTGTACTCTATTTAAGAGTTTCACCATCTTGTGAAGACCATGCTGTAATTAAGAATATAACCACCATTTAAAATATGTATGGAAATACTGACCTGACTTTGAAATTATATTCTTAACCTGTTGCAAATGAAGACAAGGTAAAGCCCAGGGCCACGTCATCCAGTTACTCAAGAACTTACAAGACAGTTTATATCCAGAGTCATAAGAAAGCACCACTTTCCATAACATACTTTGTATATCTATTGCTGAAGAGCATATTAAATAGTTTTGTGAGAACTGCTAAAACAGATTCTCATACTAACTATATCTTGACTTACAGAATTCAAGGTTGGGGGCTACAGGGAAACTTGTGACAAAATTATACTCTGAAAAAAATATCTGCTAAATTTGGTCCGAGCATCCAAAAAACAAACAAGGGCACACAGGTCCCTCATTGCTTAATGTTGCTGTTTAATTGATCCTTAAAAAAAAAAAGTGTATGGCAATAAGGGCTGTCCACGATAGGCACAGAACTGTGACAGAATAAATAGTCTCTTCAGAGACATGTTTTAACTGTGGTTTTGCCATGGGAGTAACTGAACTTGTACTAATGAAGAACCCTGAAATTTGTTTACTATAGCCACGAGAGATTAATTCCTATTTAAAAAACAGATCCATTTGTAATTAACTGCTTTTCCAATCATCATTAGATATGTGAAAAACAATAAAAAAAATCTTTTAAAACAATTACAAAGAACGGACTGCAGTAGCAGCTATTCAAGCAAGATTCAAGCACAAGTTTAAATGAACTTTCAAGCTGGGAATTAGCCTTCTTTGTCGAAAATTTGTACAACTTTTTCAAAGACCTAAAAAAAAATAAGAGAAGAATATTAATTTTATGAAGTATTGGTCAAACAGTTACTTCAAGTCAAACCAGCACACACAATAACTGACAACATTTCAAACAATATATAGGTTTTTCTTAGAATATTCATGTTAATCCTTTAATAGTGACATTGGTATCAGTTCTGGGAAACTCAGACAGAAGAGAAACACAACTTCAGAAAAGCAAAAGCTTGTGAAAGTGAAAAAGACAAGACACTGTTAAACACAGAAACAACGAAAATGTGTTTAGTCCAGCTCATGTTCCAGCAGAACTAATTCATTTCTTAAAGTTATTCACATCTTAATCAGTTCTTCAAGAGTCAAACCGTGAGTTCCACAACCTCCCTCAGTAATACTTAGCACACTAACCACACACGCACATGTCTCAGAAGAATGCAAAAAATATGTACCCTGCCCCTGTCATCCCCATGTTTTTTTGGTTTATATACTTACTTCATCAACAGACTTAGAGGCATCCACTTTTCTGACTTTTCCCATTCTCTCGTACAAATCTATTATAGGCTTAGTAGACTGCAGATATGTATGAATTCTAGGAGGAAACACAGGGGAAAACAAGTGTTACATAGTAAAATAAAAACAGAAGAGAACTGAGAAGTTTTGGAGATAGTACCTCTTCTCCAGACTCTCCCGATTATCATCACTCCTACCACTGCTCTTGCCTCTTTCAAGACAGCGGCTAATACAGATCTACAAAAAAAAACCACAAAAAAGATGATCACAACCAAGAATGCAAGATGCTATCTTGAAAGCAGGAACAAAACAGAAATCCTGAAAATCTAAATAGGCCTGACACACAAAATGCTGTCCAGATCTGGTGGATGTAACCAGAATCCATAAGGGAAGTTAGATTCTTCCAGAGAAAAAGGATGGTAACTTTACACTTCATCAGTTTATTAAAATGCGGGCTCTTAAAATGGGATTGGGGTCAGTGGAAGTAAAAGCAACATTAAGCTCTGTGGTTTGACTGGGTTTCCAGCTTGAGACATGTAAAGAAGAAAACTACCTGATTTTTAAGGATCTGTTCAGACTCTCTGAAAAGCAGCATGTCAAATTAGACTACTAATAAATGCCTGCACTGAAAGAAAGTCCCTGTATGTTCTCCCAATAATTTTGCAAGGCTACATACTAAGTTATCGTAAGTTAAAATGGTCTTACATTTGATTTTTAAGTCTTCATTATAGCAATTTCATGTAAGTAAAACCTGAAGAAGTAACCATACTTAAAAACTGCTCAATGAACTAAGTTTTGAAACATAAAGGTAAGCAAGCAACATTGACATGTGTATACCTCACAAATACATTTATGCAATGCATGAAGACAATGATTTAAAATTATTTTTTCCTATAAAGTACACTCATACTAAAAAACCTCCAGAATATCATGTTGGCACTGTTTATTTTTGCATCTACTAAAAATATTGGAAACCCAAAATTAACACCCCAACAAGTGAAAAAGTTAATCTAATCTTATTTAAGTTTTTAAATAGAAAAAAGAAACCCTCACTTTTCTTTGAGATTAAAAAAAAATTGCAATTAGGAAAAAAAAGTAATAAAGTTTCTCAGGAAATTGGGGAAAAGGGTAACAGGAAGAATGTCATCTTAACATGCTGGGATTTTTATATCAGTTTTTATGCCCCAAGGGCACTGACATATTTAAAAGACAGCATGTGATGGCACTTGTTAAATGAATCTAATGTATCATTGTCAAAATGCCCTTGTAATCTAATGAGTTGCTGAATAAAATATTGATTACTGGCTATACTATAGTACAGCTCCTGACTATGAAATACAGACTACTTCAGAATTAAAGCAGACATTGCTATCATGTTCATTTTGGACTAAACAAGAGTTAATAAGAGTAAACAGAGTAATGTTTTCTGAAAAGTAACCAAATCATTTTGTATAATGTATTTAAAGTTTAGAATGCAACTGCCTGAAGTACTTCTTCAATGTAATGTGTTTGCACGTGATTACACCAAGTACATTAGCTGCCCCCGATTTCAAAAACATGCAGTTTTCCATCTGCAAAAACTTGGCCAAAAATCCTTGAAACTCACAGACCAAGTTTTCCTTCTACTTTTACACTAGTCCATTTACTACCTGACAGTTTTATTGTTCTTCTTGAATGATTCTCACAATATAGCAAGAAAGGAAGTTACAGAATAACACACTTCATTACCTCATTGTCACAATCGAAAAAGAGAACAAAAGAAACATCCGCCTTTCCATCCATAGTCTTATTCCAGCCTTGAAGATTATCTTCATTCCTGGGAAATCCATCAATCAAGAACTTGTTCTTCTGGGAATTGGCAGCCATTGTTTGATCCATAGCCTGATAAAAGAGAATTCAATTCATGATCTCCTGAACATACAACCAGTTATCTACTTATTAAATTACTCCCAAAATGTTGACATGGTAAATTGAGAAGCATTTATTTTAGGATTATTGCAGATTTGCAAAATGCATTTTTGATCCACCTTCAACGCATGCTAATTAATTCACTAAGGCACCAATATAGCCTTCTTTCCAAAGGAATTCACTACCTCCTAAATACTGGAACGTGCTGTTACATAATAAGATGCCAAAACATCCTTGATCTAGAGTTAATTCTAATGGAAAAACTCTAGACAAATTTAGTGCCACGAGGAACAGAAGCCTTTTCTATCTTAAAGGAGATACTCTGTTTGTTTTCCTGGGTATCTAACAAGGATAAAGGCTGGAGCTTTTTATTCCACAGGAACATTAGCAGGTGCTCTTCTGCTTCACCTGGCTATCTATTTTGAGAAAACTTACAGAAACTTAGTACTTTTAAGGCCTCTGCCCTCCAGTCAAATATGACTGAGCTGACTAAGAAGTCTAAAAGCTAGTTAAGGGAAACAAGAAATACAGAGTTTCACTGATTTCCCTAGAGCTACTAACAGAAAAATAAAATAAAATAAAATAAAAATAACCCATTCTCAGGGATCCCAAGGTATCAGAGGCCATCACCTACTGCCCTCCAGCCAGCCAGAGAGAAATGTGAGTAATTGCTAAGAGAAGCCCAGTATGCAATGTGTGCCTACGTGTCTGCCATTTCATACTACTCACACCGGAGGAAAGGCAATTCCTCCAGAATACGGCCGCTGCTTTGCTGCTTAGCCTGCAAGAGTGAACAAACAAGGAAATAGCCCTTTCCTTACCCTCTTCAGCAAACTGATTGTTATCTCAACCGGTACGATTTCCCCCTCCTTAATGTAGTTCTCAATGAGTTCTCCATACTGCGAGCCTGGCCTTTTCCGTTCATCTCGAAGGAGGTCACCGGCAGAGAGGTGCGTGTAGCCGTATTTCTGAAACGGGCACAACAAACAGGCAGCGTCAACATCAGCCAACAGTCAACCACATTTATTCTCCACATTACAACAGAAAAACACAGGTAATAGCATCTCACTAGCGACAGGTGTATTCCACCATCAGTGTGTAATATAACAATACAGCATACTCAGTATGCAATAAAGCACTGCAGTTGGGAGATTCTTGGCTAAAATGCTCACCAAGCCTTTGGTCAGACATTCATGTCCTGTTTTCAGATGTAATTTTGTCATGTTTGGAAACGAGACTGTCTCAAAGTCCCTAAAGTGCTTCTGGAGATGTTACACTGTGCAACGAGACATTTGACAATCACCAAACTAGATATGAGCTATACCCCATCCTAACAGTTCAGCTACTCAAAAATTGCAAGTGGTCATCAGTTGCTGGGATAAGTTGATTTACAAAGAGAAAAAGTTGCAACAATGCCTTTCCTTGCTATGTTTATGCATCAGGTTGGTAATTTTATTTAATTAACCACTTTTAGTAAAGGAAAGCACACAGGGTGATTCCAGGTCCTTTGGAGCTGGAGGAATGTTTCAAGCACAGCACAAGTCAGGAATCCTCACTGTGGTTCCAGCACCAATTTCCGTCTCTGCCTTGGGCAAATCACCTCTAATTCTGCACCTAAGGCTGCAGCGCCACAAACAGCCCGGCACACGCTGCTCCAAACCCAGCCCTGTGTGCCTGGCCCTGCTACCCCCTTCCCTGGGACCAACACCACAAACTGGGAGGGCAGCCCCTGGGCAGGTCAGTGCCATCTCCCAACGGTGATGTGGAGAATGAAGGTAAACAGCTACTCTGGTGCCACCCTGTGTCACCCCACCCACAGGAAACAGACGGAGAGCAGAGAGATCAGGTCCAAATCCATCAGTTTGATACCAGCACGCAGGAAAAACAGCAGTCATTACTCTTTCCTTTTACCTCAAACTACATCTAAAAAAAAGTTGCTAACGCTAATGCAAAATACCAAGGAAAAGTATTTATTACACTTGAATTTCTCAGGTATTTACCATCATAAATAAATATCTAGTGCAAACATACACTCTTACCAAAGAGAAATGCATTGTTATAAAGGAAATTCCAGAGCACAAAAAAAAAATATCATTTTTGCAGCTCATTTAAGACCACAAGAAAACTAAGTGAGTGTACTATGTTCCTGACCAAATATAGTCCACAAAAAACAGGCAATAAAGACATCTCCTTGGTGAATACCTAAGCGAGCTATGCATCCAAAGCAGAGTATACCTATGGCTACTAACCCTGAAGTTTTTACACAAAACAAAAGTAGCAGAAAAATTTTCAGGGTTATCAGCTTGGCTGCAGCAACACCCAAAGCAAATTTCAAAAAAGGTGTCTGAGCAGCATAATGTGACTATACACTTTTTAAGGCTGTGAACTTAGGAATTAAAAACTTGGCTACTGGACTAAGTACAACAGAAATATTACACAACTCACTAAGCGACTTTAAAAACATTTCAGTTGCTTTCCAATTTCACTTACAAAACCGTGGAAAGTCAGTTCTGCCATAGTCATAATTTAAGAAGGGATATAATTACCTAAATCTCCAAAACTCTACACAGCTGGCAAAAAAAAGGAAGCAAGATTTTGCTCTAAATAACTGTGAAGAAAAAGCTCCACAGACATCCTCTATAAGCTCACTGTACTCCTGCTTTAATGTGCACTGCATTTGGATATGCCTATTTAATTGTAAATCTAAATATTTACTATGAACTACAGAAACCATAAACCAGAATAAATCCTTCCTTATAAGCAAGGAATCTTACTCTGCTGAACCCTAAATTAACATGTAGTTCTTCTTGCTAAAGTTAAAGAACGATGATATTTTTAACATCAAGTTTCTATAAAAGAGAAAACAGGAGGAAAATATAATCCCTTCAGTTTTAGAGGATTACCAAACCATTTAATTTTCCTTGGCATTTCCCTTTTCATGCATGAAAACGAAATTGAGTCAGTCAATTTTTGGAATTCTCTGTCTTTTGCAACAGCAAACTAAAATCGTTTTTTTGACAGTTGAACAGGGAAGTAAAAGATAGAAGTGTTTTGAAGTGCTGTTGCATAAATAGACTTGTTTTAGATAGTAAATCGTATTCTAGGGTAACCTTCAGAATGGATTAACCAGGCAATAAGAAAAACAAACCTCTCCTTCAGGGGCAAAACATCTATTTGTTAACTGTACTGAGTCAAGAGCCAAAGACAACACGTCAGTTTAAACAATGCAAACAAGCAGAGAGAAAGGCTTGGCCGCTGCTGCGTACACAGAAGGGCTTCAGAAATGCGGTGCTCAGGCTACTCTTGCCAGTTTTAATCAATTCGTACAGGGCACGAAGTTTTCTTTCATCTTAGGCGAGATAAACCCTCAGCAAGCGTCCTGAACTGCAGAAAATCGTCACATCCCCAAGAGCTCACAAGAGACTCTGATGTAACTGCACAAAAAAATCAGGGCAAAACACTCTGGGGTCTTGCCAAGGTTTGCGTCCTGCCAGCATGACTTTCCAGCACTGCCAAGTACATCTTGATGCAATCCCCAGAACGTGACTTTTTGCAACTACTGCCTAATTCTCCTCCTCAGAAATCAGAAAGGGAGCAGGGCTGCGGCTGCCAAACAATGAAAAGGCAGTTTCTCCAGTTCTGGAAGGATGCACATATGCTAGATTCAGAATGTCAGACTGAAAGAAGGCTTGAAATAAAAACCAGGTTAAAAAAAAAAAATAATAATCCAAATACTTGGATGCCAAGCACCCAAAATGTGGACAGATTTTTAGATTACAGAAACAAAACAAAAAAAAAAATCTAGAATTAACTATTCTAAAACTTATTTCAGAGATAATGTTTTCTGCTACGCTAGCAGACTGGCATGCTATTCTCCTATAGAAAGAAAAAAAGATTAAATCAGTAAATTGCTATTACACAAGTTCTCATTATTTTAAAAACTATTTTTATATTTGGAGAACCATAATCAACGTCTCTTGCAAAAATTAACTGTGAATGAAAAAGATAAAAATCAGCTGTCTTCAGCCCACTGTAGACATCTTTCTCCTTTTTTTTTTTAAAAAAAAAAAAAAAAAAATCAGTGCTGTGGAAAGGCAAGCTCAGGTTTCCATCAATCCCACCAGAGAGCTGTTTCTCAGAACAGCACTTAGCAGTACAGTATAGAGCAGAGCAAATCCTTGCTCGCTTGTTTGTCAGTCAGTCCCATTCAGCAGGACAAACTGGGACATGCAAGCTGTATGTTCCACATCTCCAAATGACAGCCCCAGACTGCAGCCTCCCTGGGATGCCCTTCTCTCCCCTGTCCTATAGCCACTTCCAGCTTTCTTCTGTCGACCAGGATTAGCAATGTCCACTCCTCAGACAGAATGTGCTTTGCATTCAGTAAATAGAACAAACAGATGAATACAAGTGAAAATACATGAGTCATATCTGTGCTATGCTTGAATAAGGCGGAGTTTGCAACAGCAATCTCCTGGAGGAGTCAGAAAGGCTCAGCGGTGCACAGCAGCTGCTGCTGGGACTCCTTACACAGCCAGCTTTGGTGGGGGACAAGGTTTATTTCTCATTTAGCCCTGCGTGGTCCGGCAGCACATCTCTCCAGTACACACACAGCTTGATACTTCCTCAAGGGAGCAGAAGCCAAGAAAAAGCAAGAGAAACACAAATTACTACTTTGACCTTGACTCCTATCTTGGCTTATCATTGTTACTCTGAAAATGAAAGTCAAAGGGCTTAAGATCTAAACACATAAAATAGAAACTTTTATCGCCCTAGTTCTGACCTGTCGTATCTTGAGCAACCCTAATAAACAAAGTTTGCTACATGTTCTCAGACACACCATTCAAGAACTAGTTAAAATAAAAATAGAATCGTGTAAAGCCTACAACTTTCATATTCATTCTTCTTTTCTTTTTTAACCTAAAAAGCTTTTGTCCATCCTATTAGCAATTAGGACATGAAATGATAATTGGGGTATAAACTACAATGCATTAATAGACCTTCTGTCTGCTTATTCCAATTAAAAAAAAAAACTAAATACTTTTTAAAGTTTGAATTATGTTCTTGCCTTTTGGGGGGGCGGGGAACAAAAAAAATTGACATTAACAAAACGAAACACACAAAGGAGATCCCACTGACAGTGCCTGCAGGGAAGCGAGGGCAAACAGAGCACCCCAGTGCTTCAGGAACACTCAACTCAATAAAAGGCACCCATTTGGAAAGTCCAAAATCTAACACCCAGCAAGTAAGCCTGCGTTCTGCAAAATGGAAGTGTTTAGGGATAAATCTTTGGGGGTAGGAAGGAAGATTTGTATCATCACTCACCATGTTTTAAAAAAGCTTGATATTTCAGAAACATAAACTTCTATTCCAAAAAACAACTATGAGAACTTAAGGCTAAGTGGGCTACTAATACTTGGCACTCTTGAAAGAGATTTCAGAAGTTGAGTTTAAAGCAAACAATTTAAAAAGCGTTTTTATTTCAAGGAAGTTAATACTGTCTCTCAGCAGACTTCCAGAAAACAATTAACACATGATAGTAAAACCTAAATCCACTGCTACTTTCAGACGAGTGTTTCTGGTACAATGAGTTCTTTGTGTTATTTTCTTCACCCTAGGAAATCTCCCTATCACATATCTCAAAGCAATTTAAGAGCTTTTTCGATTTGGATATTAACATAAGCTTTTATAAAAGGAGAAGGCTCAGCATCCCACCTTGTCAGATTAATTTTAGATTTAACCACAAAATACAAGATAGGGCTGTGGTGGAGGTGAATTATATTTTGGGTACACAGATAGGGATGTCTTGTGTGCTCCAAATCCCTACAGAATCACCTTGCCAAAAGAAACACACAAACATAACACAACTCAAATCTTGTTCGGTATAAAGACAAATTATTTCGTTATTATTCTTCCCCCTAACCAAAGAGGTTTGTATTTCAGGCAAAGGTTATAAGGATGTAAAATTTAACTACATGAAAGCATAGTTTGTGCAGATTTGAAGAACACATTTTTTTTTCCTTGACTTTACCATAAGCATTTTATAAGCGAAGTGCAGAAGCCACCAATAAAATACATCTGTTTTGTCCTACCTGAACCCGAAATGCATTCAACTACCTGCTCAAACGTTCCTGCCTCACATGACAAGCTACGCAACAGTCCCAAGGTGATGGCAAACTCCACCTCACACAATGATGGAAGCTTTCAGGAGTTAATCTGCAGCGCTGGAAGGGAGAGGATAAGAACTGGAGAGGGAACTCTGTTTCATCCCTTCCTCAATAGGGGAAACTGGTCCAGAGCAGCAATTCTGCTGCACTTGCATTTCAGGGACAATCCTGTCAGTTTGTGGAACGTACACACGAGCCTTCCCTCCGTATCGGAGAAAACCGACTCGCTTCAGCTGTCTCTTCAAACCTTATCTGCGAAGATAAAGAAACCTAATCGCTTACCTGCTGTTCCCTTTCATACACTGTGTCAATACACATTTCCGCTTGTTACTGCATCTTCTTCCCTCAAATCATTTCTCCATTTTGGTCCAAATTGGGCACGAATACATGCCTTCTCTGGAATGAGGGACTCGAGCATGCACATACTGAGCAGTTATGATTTAGGTTAATACTTAAGAAATATGTATTTCGCCACCAACGTGTGAGAGCCATCACCCTTTTCTGAGAACGTAAAGCATAGTCAGCACAACAATTACAACACTTCTTTGAGAAATCATTCCCAGGTAGTATGTAATACCTCCTTTACTCTAGAAACCACTGATGGCTACTCCTGTTTTTAATATGATCATTTAATGCTAAAATCAGGCAAGATCTCACCTCAGCAAAGTGAGATTTCTTCCACGTGTGACGTGCTCTGTCCTAAATCTCCAGTATGAATAGCAATCGAGAAGTATTTATAGCTTATACTGACTTTTTGTTGAGCACAAACTTCAGGTTTGCAGCAAGATTCTGGGTCAGATTCATTCCAAATGTAAACTAATATTATTCAGCCCATTTACAACAAGGATGAATGAGGTTTATTATTACTCAGCTACAGCCTCTCTTTTCTCTGTGGCAAGCTGCCAACGGGGTTTAAAATCCAAACAAAAATACACCTTCAACCTAAGGAGAGCCTTGACTGCATACAGGCTATTTGACTGACTGCACCAGGGCTCTCTCTGGGGGCTGCCAGGGGGCCAGGCCAAGGATATGTGCTTAAAAAAGGATGCTGCTCTGCACTACCTCAGCCGCATTTCATCCTCACTTCCCTGTTCATGTTCTCTTCTTCTACAGCTTTCCAGCAGGCTTGCATCATTCCAACTCTCCCTTCAACAACCTGAGACCCTTTCTGCCTTAAAATACAACCAGCAGCTCCTAAAGAGGTGTCCAAGCAAGCAGGAAGGCTGGCCATTGCAGTCAGCGGGTCCGAGCGCTCTACTGTCAGCCCACTGACCCCAATAAACTTCCTTCCATGCAGTGAACGGGATTGGCAGAATTAAAGCAAATTACATTTATTAGTATTCAGATGTGCCTTTCCAAGTTTAGAAAAGAAAATAAATACGGTACAAGCAAAGTTAACTTTCTTCTTTCATTTTTAGCTGCAAATACAATTTGAGTAGCAATGACTCATTTGAACTCCTCCGAATAAAGTGGTCTTTATCCAATTATATTAGCCTATCAAGCTAAAGGCATTTATACTTCTAAACATAGGCCAGTGGCCACACAAGGTACTTCAGCCCTAAGGCTACGCTAATGGTTTGGTGAAAGCCATTAATGACAGCCTACAAAATTCCCCTACAGTTTAAACTCATTTGTTTGCTATGTGCCAGTGGCAGAATTTGACCTTACCAAAAAGGCTTTATGAACCTTTCATTCCACAATTTAATTTAATGAATAAGATGCTTTAAATGAGAGTCTGTAATTTGAGGTTAAAATCCTTCAGAAGTAAAGTCATAACGGCATTTTTCAGCCTGGACCAAATTTGCATAACTAAGTTATACAACAGTGAGGACTGGGATATAATGGCAGCGTGGATAAACTGTAACAGCACCACCAGGGCATCACCAGAATAGACAACACACGAAACATGCCTCTGCCAGGAGTTGCGGGTTTTGTTTTTTCTACTAATAGTTTCACAAACATGGGCATTGCTACAGTTCTTATAGGCATTTCTTTCAGTGCGGGTATGGATAAACTTTGATCCCACACAGCTTTCAACAAGAAAAATACATACAACCGCTCAGAAAGAAAAGAAAAGCGCTGTTTCAAATCCAACACATGTGTTTGGAAGCATTCAGTCTTAACTACTTCTGTAATTATCCACCCGAATACAGTTTGATTATCCCTGAGCTTTTTGTTTTTTAAAAACTACACCACGTTCATTGACTGTTCTTAGATACTTCTTCTATGTCAAAGGGCTGTAAAAATGTATTTAGAAAACCAAAAATATGAAAAATGTAGCAAAAAGTCTTTTCAACCTATACTGCCAGTTTTATGCTCTTTGAAAAGAACAAATAAGGTTAACCACGTATGGTGTCAGGACATCCTATGACCTCTATCATATTACATCACAGAACAAAATTTTACTTCCACAACTTACAGCACCAGGTCAGAACTCCAACACCCTGCAGTGTCTCCTGTACCAGCTCATAATGTTTATGGGACAGACTTCAGAAGACAAGGACCTTGATCCTACACACTTGAAGTTAATGTAAACCACCTCACCTCCACTATCAGGCCATAAACCCAGTAGCCCGAGGCATGCAGGTGGCAGCCCTGCAATCATCTACGTGGCCATGCTGATGTGTCCAGAGCCACCCACATGAGCCGGGCTGCAATACCAGCCTGACAACACACCAGGAACTTCTTGAGGGCTGTGGTCCTCTGCCAAGGCGCAGTGAGCAACTGACTGGTGCTCCTGCTGAACCGCTGCCATGCTGGGGCAGCCTCCAAGCCTCAAGTGGGTGTCCCCCTGCCTAGGGTGGGTGCCAGTACAGGCAGACCCACCAGTGGAGTGGGAACCCAGGGGCGGATGAGGGAAGAAAAGGCAGGAGAAAGAAAAAGGCCGGCTCCTGGCTAAGTTGCCTGACAGGGGCACAAAGGGGAGCGCGGGGGGGATCTGCCACTGCTGCTTCACCGGCTAACGAGGAAATGCAGTCAATAATTTTTATTTTATCGTCTCCAAAGGGCGGATCAAGGTTGGACGAGAGCCCAGACTGCTGGGCGAAGGGACACACACTTCCCCAAGTGACCAACCCAAGGGGAGGCACGGACAATACCGGAGTGGCCCCCCCCGGCCTACAACTCCCAGCGTGCCGCACCCGGTGAGCCCCCAGCAGCCGGAGCCCGGCGGCACACACAGTCCCGTACCCCCCTGCTCCCCGGCGGTGGCAGGTCAGCGGCCCTCACCTCCACGATGCGGGCGCACTGCGTCCCCTTGCCCGCCCCGGGCCCGCCGAGGACAAAGACGACGACGGGCTTCATGAGGAGGAGGAGGCGGCGGCGGAGCAGCAGCAGGACAGCGGCGGTAGGGGAGCAGCGGCTGTGGAGCGGGCGGGCACGGAGGCCGGAGCCGGGGTGAGGCAGAGCCGCTGCTGCCACTGGCTGCTGAGCTGTCCCCGCCGAGGGAAAAGTGCTTCCGGGTCCCCGGCGGCGACCGGGAGGGGCGGGGCTTGCACGCGCGCAAGGCGGTGGCCCTCCGCTCCGCCGTCCCGCCAACCGCGGCCTGAGGCCTGCGACGCGCAGGCCTGCGGCGAGCGCTGCAAGCGGCTCACGGCCCTGGGACAAACGAAGGCCGGAGCGACGCTGCCGCAGTGCGGAGCAAGCGGGAAGGAAGGAGGGTTGTGCCGGTTTATTTCGAAATCCAGGGCGGCCACCGCCGCCGTCCTGTCAGCCCCGGCCCAGCCCAGCTCCGGCGGTGAGGCGTTGCCATGGCAACACCGCCGCGCCTGCGCGTTCCCCGCCCTCCCGCGGACCGTTTGTTGAGGCCCCGCCGGCGTTTTTAAACCCCCTGCGCGCGCGCTGGCGGTTGGTTACCCCGGGGTGCACTGTGATTGGTCGAAGCGCTTTCCCCTCCTTCTCCCACCGAGGCGTCCATTGGGTCGGAGGAGGCCGCGGGGGCGGGAGAGCGGCCGGTTGTGCTCTCTGATTGGCCGGTGGCTGTCGGCGGTAGGGAACGAGGCGGGGGTCGGCGGCGGGCTGAGGAAGGCGCCGGAGCGGGGCGGGACGGGTCCCACCGCGGCGGGACGCGAGGCGGTTCCTGGTGCTTCCCAGCGGTCGTTAGGCCTTGGGGAAGGGGTGTCACTGGCCGCTCCCCTCTTCCCTCAGGGGAGGCTGGCGGACCCCCTGAGGCGCCCGGCTGAGGGAGGGGCTGTGGCGGGCAGGCCCCGCGCCTGGGCGTCGCCTCACGCCTGTGCCCCACGGCAGGGAGAAGCGGAGGGCGCAGAGCTGCGGCCGCCCCGCATGGAGCCCCTTCTACCCGGCTCGGATCTGAGGTACCCCGTCGGGGAAAGCTCCCTGGGAGGATCGGCCCGTACCCTTGGGAGCGAGGGGCGGGGAGCGGTGAGGCGGCCCATCGCCCCCCGGCCCCCACAGCGCGTCTCTGGTTGTAAAGAGCTGCGGGGGTGTGTTTCTGATCCCCGCTTGCCGAAAGCTAGTGAAAACCGCGACTTTAAAAATGTTTTCCCTTTTCCAAGCCTTAATTAGGACTTATTTTGATGGGCGTTTAGCTTTTAATGGGAGTCAATTAACTGTCGCTGGGTTCACGAGAGGTGGGTGGGTTGCCTAGAGGGACACCTTATAAACAGAGAAAGTTCTTTCCTGGGAACTTAAAGCAATGCAAAGAAAGCACCTTGCTAAAGTTTGAGGCTTCAAATACCAACAAAGAGAGTTTTTGTTTATTTGTTAAAAAGTGTTGAGGTATTCGCAAAGTGATACGGACCGTCAAATGTATTGTATTTTATGTAGTTTAGGCAACTCTTAAAGTGTAAGCCAGCTTGTGTAAATAAGCTTATGTGATTATGTACGGATTTCTTCAGGCCTCTGAAGCAAATTTTGTACTATATTATTTGAGTTAAGCTAAGGTTTTATTTCATTTGTCTTTGAAACTTAAGTAAATTGGATGCGGACTTTAAAAAGTGACTGAAACAGGGCTTTTGGAAGTTGATCTTACATCAAATTTGCTAAATCACAAATTCTGTGTGCCATGGGAATTTCTAAAGATTGATAACCTTTTCCTTCCCTGCTATATATCCAGAGCAGCTTTTTCTTGTACTTTTTCCACGAACTTTTATTTTGGCCTACACATCTTCCAAGATTATATGGAGGAACTGTCAGGTGGAAAAAGCAAGTTTTGTGTTAACTTTGTAGTCCGTATCCTTGACAACTTCATAAGACAAATTTTCTGCTTCATTGGTCAGGACTTGGGGGGAAAAAAAGTACCAACAGTTTATGTATTCTATTTGTTGTTTTTCTTATAGTGTTACTCCTTTGTTCCTTCTTATAAGTACTGTTTGAAAGTGCTGAGCTTAATCCATTTTTCTTTCTTATCTCTGTGATCTTCACAGATCTGCTCCCGAAAGGATGGTCCCTTTCAGTTTCCCTCTGTCAAAGTGTGCACTTTGGGACCCAGTCCCTATGGGTGATGTTATTGGCTCACATATTGCCTATTACAGGTATGAATAACCTTTTTTTAAGTGGCTGAAAGTTAAAATAAATTAAGAATTACACGATTCCAAACATCACTACCTTTTGAGCCTAGTGGGTGACAAGGCTCAAAGGTAAAAGGAAAGGGTAATTTTTATATAGATGCTATTAAAAAAAAAAAATCTTACTGTAGTTATTAAAGCAAGTATACACATATGTGGGCCTATAAGGGTGGACAGCACTTACATAGGTCAGAGAGGCCTTCACTTGTCCTTGCCATATAAACTTAAAACCTCCAAGTTTTAAAAAAGTTTAAAACAAATTACTTTTATTTTGATGAAGGCACTTCACTTAGTCTTGAGCAGGTGGGTTATGAGCCATCATCACATTATTCACCTAAAGCAGTAGCTTCCCTTTCAACTTTGACCTCTTTCCAAGGCAGTATTATACAAGATATCTTAAGCTAAAATAATGTTGATGTGTTTACTTCTCTAGATTACAAACTTAGTACCTTTTTTTTACTAAATGTTGATTTCATAATCACTTAATCTTTCTCCATATTTACATTCCTGTGTATTTGAGCCCAGTCTGTTGCTGCTTTAAGCATCCACACTAAATACTGTGCTGGAGTAAATAATGTAAATAACGAGACACCACCATGTCAAAATTAGTTAAGCTATTTGTCCTATGCTGCTCTTTAAATTCAGACTTCTCAGAGGTTCTGTGTTTTAGCATAAGTATTTCTAACTTTTATAGCCTTCTATTAAAATAATTCCCTTGAGTTCATCTCTAGTTCTTGTTACAGTGTTGCCCTTCAGATGAAAAAGCTTTTTGATGCACAGAACATAAGCAAAAATTCCATTGACATTTTATACAATGTTGTTATTCTTACCTTTTTGTTGTTTGAGGCTTTGGGCTGTTTCTGTGTATGTTCTTTTTAACAGACAAAAAATGTGGAAGCTCTTGGAATATAATAAATACTTTGTTAAAAAAGCTTTAAAAATAATTTTGATCTTACACTTGCTTATTGTCTCTTTTCAGAAACCCAAAGTTATCTATGATGGAGAAAACCTTGCGACTTGCCTATCGCCATGCGAAGCAGAATGAAAAGAAATTATTTTCCTGTTTTTTGCTTGGGACTCTTGCAGTTGATGAAGGTAACTTTAAACATCAGGTAGACAGACAGTATTGGTTGGTTGAGTAAGCCATTATCAAGAAGCCTGAGTTGTTGCTTTTGGACTCTAACTTTATTTATTTATTTATTTTAAAGCTGGGGAAGGCATAACGCTAACAATAGACCGCTTTGATCCTGGTCGAGAAGTTGCTGGTGGATCAGGCAAAATCCCAACTGCGTCTCTTCCTGGAGACTTTTTGATTCCATGTACAATTAATGCCTGGGGACCTTCTTCAGATAATATTATAGTGCACAGTGCTGAAGATATCAGCTTGGCTTTCAAGGTAGGTAGCCCTTGGGCAACTTTTGGGTCTCTTAAACAACAAACTGTCTTCCAGGACACTGTATTGTGTACAGGGCTTGATTTCCAGCCGCCGTCAGTTTCAAACACAGCACAGTTGTGGCTGAAGCAGGACTATTTAGTTGGTTATCTGAAATTAGCTGGTAATCTGAAATTCTTGAGCATCGTTGACAAGCGTATCAGAAACTGCTGAAGTCAGTTGGCCTTCACAGGTGTCTAAAGATCAGAGTCTTTAATCTTGGACTAAAATCTTGCTGTCTGACCAAAGCTTTTTAGCTGCTCTGACCACCAGTGACAGCAGTGATTGCAACAAACTTACTTAAAAAAGGAAAACCAGCTTTTTCTTTCAAATGTGTCATGAGTGAGTTGCAGTATTTATGCAATTGTTGATAAAAAGTATTGCTAGGCAAGTGACTTGCAAGAAAGCATGTAAAGTCTGTGTGGGTTAGCAGTTACAGCTGAAATGCCTGCCTATCACTTCTGTGCTCTGCTGGAGACATGGAATCTAGTAAATACACCTTCCATTCCTGCAAATGTTTGCCTGTAGTTCTTGTTGTGTGTATTTTATAGTACAAATAATGCTTACATCTAAAATTTATCATCATGATACATCCAGATACAAATACAAGTTTCTTGAATGCAAGTAAGAAAACTTTTGTAGATCACCTCAAGCCTTCTAGTTGCTTGCTGTTTTGTTATTTTTCATACAGTTTAAGTAACCCCAGGCTTATTAATATATCACAAAGCAATGCTAAGATATGCATAGCTTAATTTCAAGTAGATTTTACATTATTCGTTATGTTCAGTACAGTCATGAGCTTTGGAGACCTGGCTTAACAGCTTTTTAGACAGTGCCTACTGCAAGTGGCTGTGATGAGTGATTTGAATTCCCAGTGTAATACAACTTGAATCGTGGTAGTCATATGAAGACAATTTTGTGTATTTAAATTTTTTCTCTTTTCCCTCCTTCTAGGGTCTGCAGCACAGTTTGTGCAGTAAGGAATCACTGGATCTTTCTAAACTGCTCACTCTTAGAGCTCACATTGTTTTCACAGAAAACCTGGATAATCTACATTTTAATTTTCACTGGGCTTCTATTACCGCAGCAAATACTCTGGAATACACCCCTGTAAAGTCTGTCCCAATTATTCCCACAGCCCTCGCAAGAAATTTGAACAGTCCTATGAATATTGCACAGGTCCAAGGAACTTACAAATGTGGGTGAGTAAAGGGTGATGCTAACGCTGTCAAAGTTGCCTGGTAGTTTGTTGCATTTCCTAAAGCAGGTAGGAAGGTGGGATCTCAAGCAGTGTTTTGCTTTTTGGTAAAATAACAGGCTCAAAAATAACATAATTTCTTGGACTTGGAAAAATGTAAAACATTATAAACAAGAAACAGGAAATGGGGTGGGGCAGAATTATTAACTGGTTCAGCAGGAGTTGTTCTTGCTTTTGGCTTTAGTAGAAAGATCCTCCTACTGGGACAGGAGGACACACCTCTAGTTTACAAAATATATATAATGAGCATCCAGCTTTTTGAACAGTGTCATTGCTGACTCTTGAATGAAAATGAGAAGAATGTGAATCAAAGCTTTTTCTGTTAATCATGTTTATAGGATGCTATTGGGAGATCGTTGTTCTGACTGATAGCTAATTTAGTAGGATGAACTAAGGGTACATCAGAGAAATAATTTGAAGCAATTGAATGTCATTTTGTTTGCACTTTGTAAATACCTCTCTGAAAATTACTTTTCAAATTTAACAC